GTTGACTGAACTTGTGGCTGTTTATGTGTAACAAAATATCTTGAAAATAAACCACGATCTTGTCTTCAGGTGAGAAAGAAGGACCAGATCAACATTGAGACGAAGAACAAAACAGTGAGATTCATTGGCGAGCTAACTAAGTTTAAGATGTTCTCCAAAAGTGACACGCTGCATTGCTTAAAGGTTAGTGTTTATTGATCGGATCCTGTCCCTTCATCACGACTAACTAGAGGTGACTATGCTTCAAAATAGGCTTGTGAAAGAGGATGTGCGTAATTAGAATTGTCTGTAATGATGCTGTCGAGCCCCGCGGGCCCGACATTCACGGGCAGACGGGAACCCGTCTGCTGAACCACCGCCTCCCTCCCGCCCTTCACGCCAGCCGGCGACATTCCCGAACAGCCCAGCTGGTAGGCGCAAGTCCGGGGGGTCGCCAGCTGATGCACGCAGGAGTTCGGTGCCGCGGCAGCCTCTCCTTCGCCCTCCTCACCAGCCCGAGCTGTCGCCAGACAACCCAGCTGGCTGGCGCAGGTCCGGGGAATCGCCAGCTGATGGGCGCAGGAGTTTGGCGCCACGGCGGATTCCCGACCGGCCGCCTCATCGGCTGGAGCCATTGCCGGGACTTGCACGTTCGCCGGCAAGGAGCGTGTCAGCGGCCAGTGGGGACCACGCCAACGGTCCATCACCTCGGAGGCTTGGAACACGGAGGCGTGGGACGCAAAGCAGCGCGGTGCCGGAGGAGGCGGCAGGACAGGGGGGAGGGGTTACCTGATTCTGGACGCCTGCCTGTGAGCCAGCCGGAACGTGAAAAAGAAGCAATGTCCCGGCTGACTGCTTTTTGAACTATGCAGGCCAGATGGTGGCTTGTGGGCTGGGGGGTGGGGCATGCGCGCGGAGAGGCTATGTAAAGTGCTGGGAGCAGTTCACTCCCAGCGCTAACTTTTTTTTCCCACGGAGTAAAAGCCGTTTGTCAACCGTTCCTGCTTGCTGGCTTCTTTTCCTGGGCTCCAGGGAGGACGTCTTGACAGATGCTTTATCATTTAAACATTTCTGGTTTTTTTTAAAAAATAAATAAATTAAGGTTTAGTATTGCAGATGGGAATAGAATATGCAAATGCATTGCAGCACCACATTTTACTTGGGTCCCAAAATAAGCTTTCTTGAGATGTAAAAGAAATACAGAGGATGAAGCACGCTGACGGCGCACGATTGTTTCATCACGAAATACCTTTAAACGGTGATGCAAATTTTTCACAGATGCTTCTGTCTGACTTCTCCCATCACCACATTGAAATGGCGTGCACTTTGTTAGAGACTTGTGGGAGATTCCTCTTCAGGTCTCCAGACTCCCATTTGAGGACCAGCGTTCTTTTGGTAAGAATTATATTATCCATATATAACTTTGTTCTAATGGTAAATATTCTTGAGGTGTGTATTCTTTTTCACGGAAGAAGAATATTCTTCACAGAAACGATAGGGTCTTCGGATTTATTTAGGGAATTTGCAGTGGGTCAGCCCCACCAATAAGATCTCTTCAGGTACAGGTCTTCCTTCCTTCCTTCCTTCCTTCCTTCCTTCCTTCCTTCCTTCCTTCCTTCCTTCCTTCCTTCTTTCCTTCCTTCCTTCCTTCCTTCCTTCCTTCCCCTCCTTCCCTCCTTCCCTCCTTCCCTCTTTCTTTCTTTCTTTCTTTCTTTCTTTCTTTCTTTCTTTCTTCATATTATGGATCATTCTGGTGAATGCAGAAACTAATTCTAGGGCTGGAGTGAAATATTATAATTGGATAGTTGGTTTGAGGGCACGTGAAATAAGTAATCTTGGAAGTAAAATTGCAGATGTCCTTCCTATATTATCAGCCCTCCGGCTGAGTTCATAAGAGTTGCACTTTTATTGACAGTTGGCAGGGTGCAAGTTAAGAAATTAATTGTTGTTCAGTTGCTACATCGAGTCTGACCCTTCGCGACCCCATGGACCACACCAGGTACCCCCTTGTCTTCCATTGTCTCCCAGAGTTTGCCCAGACCCACCTTCATTTTGTCAATGTCCCTATCTAACCATCTCCTCTTCTGCCGTCCCCTTCTCCTTTTGCCTTCTGTCTTTCCCAACATCAGGATCTTTCCCAAGGAATCCTCTCTTCTCTTTAGGTGGCCAAAGTCTGAGCTTCAGCTTCAGGATCTGAAAGAATTAATACCTCTTGGTAAATGAGTGAGGGGGCGCAATGGCTCAGCAGTTAAAGATGCTGACTTGGTTAGAGAAGCTTATCAAAACCAGGGTCTCGTTCAAAGTTTTATTTATTTCATGTATCAAATTCGGAACCCCCTCCATCTCACTCGCAGAGCGATACGACGTTGTAGCTTCCCTGCCCTGCATGATTTCACCTCTTGTTCCTAGGAACAAATGATGCGGAAGAAGCAGGCCATGCATCTCGACGCGCGCTACGTCACGATGGTGGAAAACGCCTACTATTACTGCAACCCTCCTCCCGCGGAGAAGACGGTCAAAAGGAAGCGCCCTCCTCTCCAGGAATATATTCGGAAGCTGCTCTATAAGGACCTCTCCAAAGTCACCACTGAAAAGGTTCCTCGTATATTTCTTCTGCAGTCGTGATCGATGTGGGGAGAGATTAGCCCTTAGTTTAGGGCAGTGGTTCTCAACCTATGCGTCGGGACCCCATTTGGGGTCGATGGACCATTTCACGGGGGTCGCCAAGCAAGGCTGTCCGCCATTTTTTCCCCTTTTCCGGCGGGTGCCTTACCTCCCTTGGGCTGGGCCAGCTGGTGGTCGGCCTGCTCCGTCTCTGCCGCTTGCCAGCTACGCCTCGGCCGGCGCAGGGGGCGGAACCACGCATGTGCGGCGCTCCCGGGCAGGGAAAGTCCTCGACTTACGACCGGTTGGGTAGTCCTCAACTTACGACCGGTTTAGTCCTCGAC